TTTTCTCCATATAATGGATGGACTTCATTGGGAACCAAGCGGTTCAAAGGTCCAAATGAGTTTCAGTGCAGCCTCAAAGGTCTTTAAACAACACCAGATGACGAATAAGGGTCTTATCTAGGACCTTTTGAATCATGACTCGGAAAAACGATGAACGAGTTTGAACAGGAGAGTCACGAACGCTCATCACAGAACAGGTTTTTTATTTATTTTTTAAATGACCTATCGTTTCGCTTGATAAGACCCTTATTCATCGTCTGGTGAAAGGAATACTCTTAAAGCCTGTTGAAGTGGCAATTAAACTCTCATTTGGGCCTTGAACCGTTTGGTTCCCAATGAGGTCCATTATATGGAGAAAATCCTGGAATGTTTTCATCAAAAACCTTAATTTCTTTTCGACTGAAGAAAGAATGGCGAGGACATCTTGGATGACATGGGGTGAGTAAATTATCAGCAAAAGTTTTTTTAAAAGTGAACTACTACTTTAAGAAAGCAAACGTGTCCTCCAGCGATTAAGATGTGCTTTTGGTGGTAATTACTCTTGGTTACCGCTAAAAGGTGGAAACTGTGAATTTAATCTAAAGCGCTGTAAGGAACGCTTGTCAGGTGACGTCACACTCGCGATTCACGAAGTGCATTATGGGCGTAGCCGCCATTTGTAAGGTATCGATGCTGAGGCATTCTGTTGATGAATTTTTTTTTTTTAATTCTTTTTTTCCAAAATAAACCATTCTTAACATGACACTATCATCATCATCAATACAGCAAACTTATCTTTGCTGTTACTAACTTTTCAGGATTTATTCCTATCGAAGGATACAGTAACTTGGTGAAATGGCTTTAAGAGATGCATAGATTTTAAATTGTTCACTGGTAACGTTATATGCGCTTATGCCATAAACAAGATAGTTGACAATGCCCAAGTGTGAGGATGAGAAAGCAATGCGGGATCAGCACTCCAACTTGCTTTCCTGCAGTCAGCTGAGCTCATGGTTATATGTTTGAATGAATGGATGACAATTTCTCCAAATAACGGTACCTACCATATTATCGAGTTTATTTCAGTAGTTTTCTTGTGCTTCTGCAGTTTTGCGAGTTATTTACTTGTTATCTCTACTCTCGTGATCTCTTCAGTGCTCAGTCAGTAGCGATACCTCAAAAATGGCGCCGCTGTGACGTCACACACAACAAACCCACGTGTCTGACAAAGACCGATGGCGGGAATCCAATGACGCGGGTGAAGGTATTCAGCGTTTATGTCTGTTTTTACAGTCTATGTCTGTTACTTGCGCTTCTACAAATTTCACATATGATGTGCTCCTTTCTAATTTAATCTAATGTAGAAATACATACCTGACAGTGGAGATACACACAGCGGTGAGTGAGTTCTGAGTGCAGGAATCGAGACACACAGCACTGGGTGGGTTTTCTGGTTACAGAACGCTAATGACTAAAGTTTTGCAAGTTTTCCTAAAATACCAAGACTAGAAGAAAAGAGCTGTAAATATTTACTGTACGAATATTTTTGGAATTGTGTTTGACTAACTGTTATTCTATTGCCTTAAAGTGCTGCACCTGGTTTCGGGGGAGAGAAACAGATTAGCCTATCTGATATTTTTAAGGGAGAAGAGAATTCTCCTATGTTTTCAGGCTTTATCAAGAGACTGCAGTAAAATTGAAAAGAGGGCAAAAGAGGTACTGTAAAATAGACATAGTTTACATTGTATGAAATGAAGAGAGCACTCTCGGGGTAAGAAAGACTTCTCCAGGAAAATATGAAAACTGCTGAGATGATTTTTTTTTTAAATTATTGAATAGGGCCTTACAGTGGGAATTTGGACTACATTTGCAAGTATATTCTATTGAAAATGGAACTCCCCAAGATAGCATGTAATGATGTAATGGACTACTTGCACTGAGCTTCGCGACGCACTTCCGTTTGGAAACATATCACTCACTTCCGGTTATGTTTACTTTCAATGTACTCCAACAGTGGTCAATCGTCAATGAGTTGAACAAACACCAACTAAAACGAGTGTCTGTAATAAAGTTTTATATTTTGGAAAATTTATTGACAGAAGAAGGGATATTCTGATGTTTACTGTGTGTGCAGAATTTTCAAAACTCATCGGAACATGAAGTTTAAATCCAAACCAAGCCAATCCGAGAAAGCTGCGGCAGTAAAAAAAACGCCATTATTTCACCACAGGGTGTCAGTGTTCGTCTACGTTGGTGAGAACAGATGAATAACATCAGTACGAAACAAGAACATTTATTTGGATTAAATATTGTAATCATTCAGTGTAATTTTTCAAGGTCAATCGTTTTACTATTTACATGTTCATGACCAAAATGCTTAATTAATTTTCAGAGACGTTGACTCATTCTCCTCTATGCTGCGGGCGTTCTGATCTACGATCGCACCTCGCGATCATTCATTTATTCATTCATTCAACTATTTTAAAAAGACAGGAATAAAGCACCAATGCACACTTTTTATTAGTCAAATTCATTAAAAGAATGTAAACTCAAGTATAGAGTATAAGTAGGCAAAGACAAAAATACTGAGAAGACATAAGACTGCTGCAGGTTAGTGGATAAATGACCTGGCAGTAGCTGCTGGGTGCATTATGGGTAATTGTTTATTGAGAGTTGATTTATGTGTTATTTCAGTAAGATCTTTAAGTTTTTGTGATAGTAAAGTTATGTGTGTTAATGTTCAAGTTAGATCAGATGTTCTTGGTTCATTTACTGCCTAATGTAAAAATGTGTCTCTCTGTGTCTCTGCGGTGTATGAGACATGAGTGTTCTGATTTCATATTAATAATTAGTTTAGTAAAAGTGTTATTAGCATAATTTAGCTCCGGTTAGACATACTTTTATTTGATAACTACCAGTTATTATAATATTAAGCCTATTTATTATTCAGAATGTACGGAGGCGTATTGTATGGAGGTGTATTGCATTCCCTTGAAGAAAAAAAATCTACTCTGTTTTTTTGAATTGTTAATTTTTCATGAGAAATTTTTTTTTTTGCTCTGTTTTTCTGAATTAACGAGTTAATTTTTCATGAGAAATTTTTTTTGCTCGGTTTTTCTGAATTAATGAGTTAATTTTTCATGAGAAAAAAGTTTTTGCTCTGTTTTTCTGAATTAATGAGTTAATTTTTCATGAGAAAAAAAAATTTGCTCTGTTTTTCTGAATTCATGTTTTTCTGACAACATTTTTGTTGTCCGATCAATCAACTTATTCAATGCTTCACTTCTCACAAGTGTGGATGACGAGGCTTGTGTTTTATTTGTGTCCAGTGAGTTTCACATGTTTGTGTAAACAGCTGCAGCTCTCAGGGTTCTCTAGCCCATCAAGGACACGGTAATAGACACTGTTGTCAGCTGAAGGTTAAAAACTTTCCCATTGGCCTTCAGAAAGCCTCTGGAGCTAAGAACTTGACATGTTTTTGTTAGTATGTCTCCCAAAAAGTCTGATTATAATCCACTTTTATCTTCCGTATTCTCATTAAAAAGTTTTAGCTGCCTTGCAATAGAATCAAAGATAAGGTTTTTTTTTGGAAATCCTGTGGTAGTTAGTTTCTAGTCCACTCATCTCTCTTTCTCTTAGTGTCAAGTTTTTTGCTTTGAAAAGCATTAAATATCATAATTAAAAAAAAAACTTAATAAAAGTATAATATTTTAATTGATTTCTCAAGAAGATGTCACTTCTTGAGGGTGAAATGGAGGCTGATGAGCCGACCTGAGGCTCAACTTGCGTATCCTGAGCAATATGGCTTGTCGTATCAACTAGCCAAAAAGATTGTTGGTTTATAAGACCAAGGCTTGGAAATGTTATCAGGAAGACATAATGCCATCGATCCATGACGTATTTTCTTTGAGCTGAAAAATATTTTCTCGTTATTCTCTTCACTTAGTCTATCAAGGTCAGATATGAGAACCCATCGTGGGTTGCATTGAAACAAACAGAAAACATCATTCATTAGGTCTGGCCAATCATTGCTTGACACCAGGGCCCGTATTCATAAAGATTCTAAGAATCCTCTCAGAAAACTCTTAATTAAGCTTAAAAACTTTTACGTAGGAGTCTTAGCAAGAACGATTCTGGACCGATCTGAGAGCAACTCTGAGTAAGGAAAAGACAAAAAATGTCATCTTAGTGTGGAGGTGGGGTTGACCCTGTTGCTATGTATGACTCAATCTTTTGAAGACTGTGATTGGTTGGTTGTCCCAGAAGGGAAAAAAGAGTGATTTTAACTATAGGGTCTATTTTAAGCCTTCACTTTGAAATTACATGCATCATTTTCCCATTTTCCCATTCTCTCTCACACACACACACACACACACACACACATTATATATGTGTATATAAATCTTTTTTTTTTATTTACCATGCTGTTAATTTCCTATAAGGTATTTGATTGGCTAAGAATGATAAAAATGATTCCACTCTTTCCAGTTACACTGATTGCTGGCATGTCTGTTTAAGTGGTGGTTTGAATGTTGGTTTTAATGTAACAAACATGGAATCAAAACCAAGAAGGACTAGAAAGCCTGACTGGACAGACGAACAGTGTTTACTATTAGCCCAGTTAGGGGATGAACAGAAGGCCATCCTTAAAAAAAAAAATTTGGGCCGGGTGTCAATCTACAACGTCTTATTAACTCACTGTCATCCATTGTCTGCAACACATTTCTTCTCCCTCTTCAGCTTTCTGCCATTTTCCCCTTTGCTAAAGAAACTCTCAAGCCTTTTAAAAGTCCTCGTTCATACTCCTAACAATTTTGATCTTAAGACCTCTTTTAAGGGTTAGGATACTCTCTGAATTTCTTTTTTCTTTACTAGGATTTTTTATTTCATTTAAGAGTAAACGCCTTAATTTCTAAGAATTTTCTTAGAGTTTTGGCACTAGCTACTCTTTGCATTAAGATTCTTTATGAATACGGGCTCTGGAGTATATAAGTACTGAACTCTCTGTTTCATGTTCGCAGTTGATGATGCTGACGTTCCCCTCCATCCTGCTCACCACCACCAGGTTGGCAGTTTGGCTCTGCCCCTGCCTTGTGTCTTCAGGTAGGATTAGCCAAATCTGTATCCCCCAGGATTTAGACTAAGCCATTTAGACTACACCAAATAACTTTTTTCTATAGTAAACTAATTAAACATGAATTATTGTAGCTCACTACCATCTGTTCCAATACTTTATGGAATAAATACCATGCAAATGTTCACCTGCCCTCTGAGTCTTTCTGGTAGAACTGAGAGTTATCTGTTGCTATGATGGATTTCTGTCGTTTGGATTGCAGAGAGGTCAATATGGCTAAAAATTTTTTAAAAAAAGTTTTTTTTTTTAAGTCTTCATCTGTCACATTAATACATTTAATTTTATGCTTTTCCTTTGCAGTTTAAATTAACCATACATCTCACGTATTTCAAAAGGATATCTTGCATTATTATTCATTAAGAATTTCTTAAATAAACAAACTTCAACAAAATAAAGGCAGATCAGTTGATTGCAGCTGATGACTCCAATAATACAAATAAGCTTTGCTTCGAGTCCTCCATCCTCATTTTCTTGCAGGCTTTCCTCGCATCCTAAGTGGGGTGGAGCTGAGAAGCAAGGAAAGAAAACAAGGATGCACAAATTAGAAATAAGCACCCACTATGTTCCCATAACCGAAGTTCTGAAGCATGAAACATGAATCCCATGAGGCAACTCACTAAACATAATGACACAATGATCTTCTATAGATATATAAAGTTGGGTTAAAGCAGCTCTATATGACTATTTTCGGGTTGAATGTTGTGCGTCTCTGTTGAATTTTGTCAAACTCTGGTGGCAGCTAACGTTAGCCTTGTTGACGAAAGAATGATTTCTCTGATGTGCGCACAATTTGGGATTAGTGGGTGTGGCTTGCAGAGCTGTGCAATGTGGTGCATTGTGGGTGTTGTAGTCTTTCATACAAATGCACCCTTCGGTTATTTTCTCGGTCAAGAGGGCACCAAATTCAAAAATTATTTTACGTTTCGACTATATATATGATCCACTTTCAATAAAGATTAATGTTAAAATGGGTGAAATTTTCCTTTAAATAGCCAGTTCTGATAGTGTGTGATAGGTGGCTGATGTATATTAGAAACTTAAGGCCACATTTCGATCCAAATCTCAAATCTCTGTTCTTAAGGCCCCATTTTATTTTAGGTAAAATTGAAGAACAATTTCATTCATTCATTCATTGATCCTTGACGATGATGGATTTTCTTTGATGTGGAAATATTTTCTAATTATTCTCTTCACTATCAAAGTCAGATATGAGAACCCAGCGTGGGTTGTATTGAAACAAACATTGGTATACAAACAGTAAACAAAAGACTCAAGAAAGGGTATATCATGGCCTTAAGTCTGAGCTCTGATCATGATAACCTGATCTCTTGATTCACATCTGAGTCTTCACCCTGACCCAGCAGGAGACAGTCTTGTTCTGTCAGCAAGTCACAAGGTCAAAAACTACATGTTAAAGTAAAATACAAAAAAAACTAGAAAATATGTGTTTGTATTGTGTTTGTTCCTAAGCGGGTTTATTTTTCATGACCTTTAATGCCAAGGCTTCTCTCTCTCCTTTTCTCTGTGTGTTCAACCTTGCCCACCTCAGGGTTGGCCTTCTCCATGGAGCTTGCAGTTTGTCCTTGAAATAAAGAACATCCCAAAACTATCTGCAGAGCCTCCTCATTCATAGACCAACTTGGACACACGCTAGCACAGCAGAACAGCATGGCCTCTCGTATGTGTGTGCAGGTCTTGGGCCGTTCCAGCTTGGCTCTAGTGTGCCACCCAAGATCCACAAGACCTCACCTGAGATTTCTTCACACAGCTCCAAAACTGTGCAGTCAATCCCAACAAAACGGGTAAGGATTTAATTTATTTTGCTTTTTGTTTCACATAATGCTTTGTGTTATGTGCATTCTAATTATATAAGACCACATAATTAAGTGCACTCAAACATGTGTACAATTAGTACAATACAATAGTAATGCATTTTTAAATCATCTCATTATATTATTGGCTTTGGGAATATTTTGCCCATAGCATTTCTTTGAAGGATCATTCATTGCACTCTGTTTGTTTGGCTTCTTACATTTAAAGGATCCTTTGATAGTTGTATTCTGAGCTTTTTGCTCGCTTTCTTCTGCATTCTGTAGTGAATGCCATAAACACTTCAGTATTTTGTTTTCATTAAGATCCTAAATAAGATGAAAAGGCTCACTCTTGTTAACCCACCAGAGTACCACAGAGATCAGAAGTGCTTTTCTTCTCCTCCTACACCAGATTGCTTGGAATGGCCTCCATTCAAATGGAGTTTCTTATTGTGTCAGTGCTCATGACACAAACACATCCCCCCTCTGTATCTGTAATCCAAGAAAAGATCTCCTTGAAATAGCAGACTGGATGACTATTCAACTCTTTCAGCTCAAGTTCAGTAAGACTGACTTCTTCCTTCCTGCAAAAACCTCTTTTGAGCTCTAAAAGGATTTCTAAAGTGACACTCAGTAACATTGTGCTGGATATCATTTGGACTATAGCAGTCTCTCTTTCACCTAGTAGTGTGCATGCAGCATCACACAAAAATGCAAGTACCACAATTAATGTATTCCATGAACTTGTCCACTAACAAAGCAGTTAGTATCCGGATGATCAAGCGATCTAAGCATTTCGATCCCCTAGGGCTTCTATCAGGATACAAACAACAGATTGGTACATAAAAATAAGATATGAGGGGCAGAAGTACCTTCATTCAATAGGCTGTGTTCATAGTTTGCAGTCACGTGACTGGCACAGAGATCTCGAGGGCAAAATATCCATATAACTGCATTATAGGGCTGTCAATTTTTCAACTCAAAACAAGAAAAACATAAAATTTGAACAAAAGGCGTGTTTTGGGCATCTTATATAGCAGCTTCTGCAATATTTCAATCACTAAAAACAGCTTGACACTCTTTATTTATCAACTCAACCCGTTGCTTACTTCTTACTAAGAAGGCTCTTTCCCAAGAGGATCAATTTAATGAAATGAGTCTGTGTGTATCTGTGTGCTTGTTCTCAGTTCCTCTGACTCTAAAGTGCTGGTGCACTTTGTAAATCAGTCGGGGGTGAAGAGCAGCGTATTTGTCACAGAGGGAGAGAGTCTTCTAGATGTTGTCATCAAGAAGAATCTTGACATCAGTGGCTTTGGTAATGACATTCCCATCAGTTTTAATTGGTGTGAGTGTGTGTGTGTGTGTGTGTGTGTGTATGTTATGGAACTTTTGATCTGTAACAATGTTCATGCTACTTCTTTAAAGGGATAGTTCACCTAAAAATTAAAATTAGCCCATGATTTACTCACCCTCAAGTCATTATATGTATATGACGTTCTTCTTTCAGACGAATACAATCGGAGTTATATATATATATATATATATATATATATATATATATATATATATATGTTTTAAAAAATACTGGCTCTTCCAAGTTTGATAATGGTAGTGAAGTGCTGTTTCCGTTTTGAAGTCCATAAAAGTGCATCTATCCATCATAAAAGTCCTCCACATGGCTCCGGGGGGTTAATAAAGGCCGTCTGTTAGCGAAGCGATGTGTTTGTGTAAGAACAATATCCATATTTAACACGATAGATAAGCTATTTATCTTTATTTCTATAATAAATACTGCAGTTTTACATAAACAATAAAGTAGTCCATTTTGATTTCATGGTGACTTTAAAATACATTTTTGTCAATTTTTTACATTAAAAATGTATCTTTATTTATACTTTGACAGTTTTTAGGTAATATTTTATATATATATAAAACTGTGTGTGTGTGTGTGTGTGTGTTAGGAGCATGCGAGGGCACTCTGGCCTGTTCCACCTGTCACCTGATATTTGAGGAGAGTGTGTATGACAAACTGGAGCCAATAGTGGATGAAGAGACTGACATGCTGGATTTGGCATACGGGCTCACCAAGACGTAAGACACTTCGTTCGATCTCAGACTCAGAGTGTCTGATTGAGTCAGTAAATTAGAATGATGAGGATTTGGCCAGTGCTAATCACATCAATATATCTTATATAATATATCAAAAGGTTTTTACTTAGGATAAGAAAAAGTGCACTGTATAATACTAACAATGCACTACAATGTTTTGTTTGTTGATTCAAATAATCCAAATTTATTATGTTGAGTATTGACCTGCTCAAGAACACTGAAACATGTTGCTAGCTGGTTTTTAAATTCAAATGCATTCTATAGTTTAATCAACAATATTCACAACATAAACATAAAATGACAGCTTATTTTTGCACAGACATTTTGATGATGATTAATGATGAATATGTGTGTGTGTGTATACTAATAACAATAATATAATAAATCATATGTTTTTAGACAAGTGGTACAGTTTGAGACCTTTTACACATTATCAATTACTAAAATGTATTATTAATTTCTAAAATGTTACTATCAACTAACATTATTCATAATTTGTTCATTAATCAGAGTGCTACGGCTAACATTTACTTAAACAAAACCTATACTGTAAAAAAAAAACTTTGTCCGTTCACTATGCCAATAATTTTTTGTCGCTGTTCTGTCATTGGCTCAGATCTCGTTTGGGCTGTCAGGTGATTGTGGAGCCCTGGATGGATGGAATGACTGTTCACGTTCCGCATGAGATCAATGATCAACGAGGAAAACAAGAGGCAGTGAGCAGCAAATGATACACAAGCACTCACACGTACATTACCATGTTAATTTAACACTTAATAGACGGTCAGATCTGGTTTTACTTTCTAAAACTGATTTTGAATTGTTCTGTTTTAATGGCATCTGAACATTGTACTTTACACTTCCACAAAATAATTAAATGAGTGTGACCAACCAGTATGCCCCTGTATATCACCCAGATTAATCTTAACACAAGAACGAATAGGATAAATATTTCTAGCCTTAAGTGATGTTATGATTTTGAAGCCTGCTGGAAGTAACTTTTTAAAATGTATTACAATATTCGTATATGTTCATCGTTAGATGTACTGTACATCTATAACAGAGAACTTTCTCACTGAACTGACAGTGTTTGTCTTGCATATGAGCTGTGTCAGAGCCCTGTGCCCGAACATTCGTTTCATTTTTCATATATTCATTTATTCATATCCAAAGCAACTTACAATTGCTATATGTCAGAGGTCTAGGGGTTAAGTGTCTTGCTCAGGGACACATTGGTGTCTCACAGTGGATTCAAACCCGGGTCTCTCACACCAAAGGCATGTGTCTTATCCTCTGTGCCATCACCACCCTATTATCCAAAGGCAACATTGCTTGCCTTTGGATAATACTTAATGTAATCATGATTTTTTTATGGCTAGTATGGTGAAGATTCTGAGTGAAATTATATCAGTTATCTTACTGCAGCCAATGTGGTTTTGTTTAAGCAGAGGTTTTAAAGAAGGGCAAAGCCTATGACACAGAAACACACGCATGTCGAGCAGAGCAGACAGTCAATGGCTTGATCTTACCTGCATGTAGGGAAGTAGTTTAAAACTACACCTAGATCAGTGTGTATGTGAGAGTCACACTAGAAACAAACTGCACACTGTTTCCTCATTTCTCTTTATTGCATAAAACAATAGACAGGTGGTGACATTAAAACCCATGCTTAAGCATAGGCTTCTCTGTAGGGGCACTACATGCCTCGGATTGTAATAAAACAACAGACTTTACAGCTGATTTGCTTGAAGAAGGATGCTTTTTAATGCAGTGGATGCAAGGGGCATCAGTGTATTCTTGACTTTTTTTTTTCTTGCATACTTTCCCCCCACCACTACAAACTTCTGCAGTTCATTTAGCTCAAACTATTTGGCATACAGACTCCATTTGTAGTGTTTTATTAATAATTTCCATCTTAGGTGTACTATATTTTGTATTTTATATATTTTGTATAACTTTATACTTTTTGTTTTAAAATGTATGGCCAGAGTGTCAAAATGTATGGCCAGAGTGTCACAGAGTGTCAACTCATGTATGGCATGAGTTCAAAGTTCAGAAGAGAAGAATTGGGTTTCTTTCAATTCATGATTTAGAATTTGAATTTGTATTGAATAAGCCACACCCAACAGGAAGCTGAATTGGAATGACAGGAAGTGACATTTGCTGAATTTACTGAAATTCAACACAGTAGTTCAGTTAATTCACCATGGCAAATATATATTTGTATTACATGCAAACTTTCCTTTACACTTCAACAAAAACATATTTGCTACCTTAATTCAAAATAAATTAAAATTCAGCATTAGAATTGAAAGTTGGGATTCTCTGTTCAATTTATGATGCACAGAAAACAAGAATTCAACAAACCATTCTTATGCAGCCTCGCAAGCAACAGTATTCCTGTCAGGAAAAGCAAATGTATTTTTCGTATGCTGATTAAATGTCCTGTCTAAAAGGAGAAATTATTATTTCATGTGTTTCCCAAACAACCACTGTACACAGAATTGAGTTACTAAAGATAAACAAAACATTCGATTCAATTAACAGAAATACAGAACACTCCAACACGCATTACAACACATAACAATGACTCAAACACATTTCACAACTTCACTCCAACTGTCATCAGCAGCTGTCAGTGTCCTCAGAACACTGAACGCTGGGTATCTGAATTATGTTGAGAGTGTAAGAAGACTTATAACATGATGATCCCTGATACAGACAACACTACATTAATGGAACGTTCTCATCTTTGTTTTTCAATCTTTGCATTTAATACCCTCTCGCCCACCCAGAAAGATTGCAGTGATAATGAACAAAAATGCACATTATAAATGAATAAATTATTATGTGGAAAACTCTTCCTGTGGTCCTGCATATTTGATTTTTTTTGTTTTCCTTACACATTTTGCTTAACCAAAAGTAGTTAAAACTTACACATGTACTGCAAACACGGTTGAACATGAGAGTGTAACAGGATCGCTTAGGTCAAACATGGAGTCGCTGAGCTCTGGAGACTCGTGCCCCCTCTCTTGGGGTATTTGACAAACTGACACCCCCTTAAATCGAGTGTCAACCACAGTCTGTCAAATACTCTAAGAGAAGAGTCTAGATCAGAGAGAGAACGATAGATGAGTGGATAGACCTGGAGAGGTGAGAAAAAAAAAATCAATTTTAAAGCATGTTTAAAACAGGAAGATCTGTCCTTTGTTTCTCTCACTCCTCTCTCTTTCCTCCACCCGTTTGTCAGATGTACTCAAACAAAGTAAATGATCAATGATTCTTGATTTCTTAGAAAGCTTTTTCAGAATCAACACAAAAGAGAGTCCTTGAGTGGAGTACAGCATCCGGCTCAAAATATCAGGTATAATTATCAATGAAATGATAAAATAGGATAGAAAACAATAACCAAGTCCTATGAAAGACCTTAAGAAAATTTCACATTTTGGATTATTTAATAGTTTAAATGTTTCTCTTCTCTTCCATTTTTAATTCTACTTTCTCGATTTATCTTTCTAGTCTGGATGAGAAGATGTTCAAACCTTTCTCGATCCTGCAGTGGTTGGATCTGCGTTGGCCTGGTGCCGCTTCCATGGGGACGTGTGCTCTCCGTGGCACGTATGTGTCATGCGCCGATGAGTGTTTGAGTGAAGCGGACAGCATGTGTGTGATCTCTAATAAGCCACCAGCGTGAGGAGGAAGTAAAAGGGGGAAGATAACACGCAGGCTTTAGAGCAGGAAATATCTGGAGGTTAAGAGACAAAACTGTGTGTTAAAGTAGTTGTGAAATGTTAAAAAAAAGTTCTGGGTTTGCAATACCAGCCACAAAGTCTCCCGCCAAATTACTCCACAAACTGTAGTCCTGAATGGGTTGCATTGTGTTGTATTATCAGTACCTTTTACATTTCGTTTATTTTCTAAAACACAACACAGTGCAATGTACAACAATACAGAAAATTCGCTAACACTTTATTTTACGGTGTCCGTGATACGGTGTAATTACTTAATTAGTTAATAGTAGACATTGTAATAACATGTAACAAAATGTAACTAAGTTATGGAACAGCCTGTACTCACAGTTTGTAATTACACTCATGTAATAGGCAGCTACTGTTATACAATGTAACCGGCCAAGTCGGTTACATGTTACCAACTTGGTACAATGTAAAAAGTTCTTAAATATGTTACTAAGGTAAAAAGCCTGCAGTTACACATGGCCTTTTTGTACCTTCAATAAAGTGGATCAAGGTTGTACTTAAGTGCACTTCATGTGTATCTACGTACCCTATCTATCTGAATTAACCCTAGTTTGCAGCTTAAATACATGCAGTAGCTTCCTAATTACATTCAATTTACAAAATATTACACAGGTATAAGCTACGTGAAATAAAGTGAATCAAGGTAGTACTTAAGTGTAATTCATGTGTATCTACAAACCTTATACATATGTACTTTTGTTTGAATTAGGCCTAACTCCCTCGTTCACAGCATAAATGCGTGCGGTAGCTTCCTAATTACATTGCAATTACATAATATTACACAGGAATACTTTACTTAAGGTAAAGTGTATCTATATTGTACTTAAGTGTACTACATGTGTATCTACAAAACTTATCCATATATACTTATGTTCGAATTAGGCCTAACTCCCTCGTTCACAGCATAAATGCATGCGGTTGCTTCCTAATTACATTGCAATTACCTAATAGAGGGTTTTCACAACGCCCCATCAATCTGGAAGTCAGCCATTTTGGAGGCACAGAACATAAACAATGCCACTGAACTGTAAGGACTCGCAAATTTGGCTGATTATTTCTGCTGAAAAATGGTCGAGTTTTGGTCTGTACTAATCGGTCGCATCCTCTCCTTCCATCTCCTCTAACAACCACTGACGTTTACATTTTATGTGGCGTGAGAATCGCATACCACCCGAAATCCGATCGTTCAGACTGAGGCATATGTCCTGGGGCCTCATGTATAAACGTTGCGTACGCACAAAATGGGCATAGAAATATGCGTACGCATTTTTCCACGTGCACATCGGGATTTATAAACTTGGCGTAAATAAGTGCGCACCGTAAGGATGCTCTTGACCGTGCGTACGCACTCTTTTAGAAGATTATGGGTTTTGGCGACACCGATGGTGAGCTGGAGTCAAATGTCTTTTTGCTTACTTATTAGACAGAGAATCTAAAGAAAATTATACATCTACAGAAAGATAATACAAATATAATTTCACAAACCTATCATCACTTGAAGCAAACATCCATCCCTTCTTAAATGACCGCGCCAGCACGCGCGTTGGGCCGTTTGGTGAAACTGACGCACATATAGCCTATATTCTAACGGCAGATGGAGTAAAACCGTAAATCTTCATTATGAGTCCTAATCATAAATACAGTCCATATTCACAATAATAGTTTAAATAAATAAAAGAATGGTTTAAACTATGTTTTACTTCTGATATAAACATTTAGATTAAATATGCCATTCTCATTAATGGAGTTAAACTCTTAAACTACATGAAATCATTACTGAGAAGTTACAATATATATATATATATATATTCAATAAATAGAAATAGACCTATTTGTTGTGGATGCATTGCTTTTGAACACTTTTCTTCTGGCATGCTGTGTTTTAATGTTTTAACTAGAGATTGTCTGAGAAAACTGTTTCGTGGTATCACGTGGATGAATAATCATATGCAAATGATATGCAGATGAGGATATGCATAGTAAAACTAGGCGTTGTAATCTCCATATATGGTTATTTCGGGGAGGAGACGCACGTGCGCATAATCTCCCGCTGACTGGGATTTATAAAGTGAATTCTGCGCAGGTTCTGGCGTACGAACGGTTTTATAAATCTGAAAACTTTTGTGCGTACGCAAATTCTGCCTTATGTGCGTACGCACACTTTAAGGATGAAATCTACGCAAAGTTTTATGCATGAGGCCCCTGGTATTTGCATAGGATTTCAACCCACCTATGGATGTAGCTTGAAACGGATTTCATGTGCTTTTTTGGGCTGACAATCTGAACGTAGCCTAAGTCGAAATAAGAAATAGAAGGAAGAATTGCAGTACGAGCTAGCTAGTTTGTCAAAATATTGCGCTCTCCTGCTTGATAAGTCCTTCTCTATATAATTTTCGCACCTACCACTGTTTTTTTAGTGTAACAATGTGTTATGTACTACATAAACAGTGCAGTCCATGCTGTTGTTTACATCCGAGTGCCTCCATAATGGCCGCTTATCCGGGTACCGCTCAGAATGTGATGTCGGTGAAAACCCTCTATATTACACAGGGATAAGCTACGTTAAACTAAGTGTATCAACATTGTGTACTTCATGTGTATCAATATACCTTTTACACATGAAGCACACTCAAGTACAATCTTGATGCACTATTTTAGAAGGTACAAAATGACCATGTGCATAGCAGGCTTGTTTCATAGTAACATATTTAAGTACTTGTTAGGCAAGGCAAAGCAAGTCAAGTTTATTTATATAGCACATTTCATACACAATGGTATTCAAAGTGCTTTTTTTTAATTAACCTATTGACACCGTATATTGGGCTGTATTTTTAAAGACTTGTCATACATTGTGTACAATCTTCAGATGTGCCTAATAGAATTGAAATAGGCCTCTATTTGGACTCCAAGGCAAAGTGTCTATGATTGAGATACATTCAGAGTGTGTGTACAGTGACATCTTTCATTAACATTAACGTGAGCATTGTATACGCATCCATGACTCATTCAGGACTCATTCATTGGGTGAGGAAAGTGGTAATGCATGTTTTAGCTCTCTCCAGGAATTCTGGTCAGGAGAATAGTAACTAATGCATGTTTTAGCTCACTCCAGGAATGTGAATGAATAAACACAGATGCCATTAAAATCTGTATACACAATGATGTGATGTCTAATGCTCCTGTGGAGTGTAGAGAGCCTGGTCTGAAAGCTTCTAATGGCATTAACACTGCACTCTTTTCAAGTCCTTGTACTGTATTCAGTTAGACTTTAAAGCCCTTAATAGCACAAACACAACACCTAAACATGCTTCCCCCTCTCCTTTTTCATGGAAATGTTCCCCTCACTAATAGAAAAATAATTGTAATCAATATGTGGACTGCAGTAGACAAAAAAAAGGAGAAAAAGCTACATTTGAGTTGTGGTGTGAAGTCCTTGCTTGTTTGATTAAAAAAGCTTTGGCTGTCTGCAGCCTTTTAAACCATTTGAGCATACGGTGGAAAAGTTAACGTTTAAAAGTTCATTTCCGTAGTGCTGCCATGCAGCAAATGAGTGTTTTTTTAGAGTCCACTTGCAACGGTCGAGCTCTTCACAGACTCTTCTTGTGGTTGATTGGTGGTTTGTGCTCAGCTGTCATGTGGTAATGTGTGAATATCTGGTGGGGGATGTTGGATCCTCTGGTCTACTGGGTTTTTACGCTCTTTCTCCTGACTGCTGATGATTACTAATGTGTGACGGAGCTCAGTTCCAACCTTAGACGTTCTCATCAGGCAGACGACCTAGTCAGGCATGACGATCCAGTGATACTGAAACATCTTGAAATCTTATAATCCATAAAATCCAGGAATCAGGATTTGAATTATGTAATTTAAGTAATATAAATTTAAGCCAACTGGCACCCACGTCTCTGTGATCTACTATAGGCTTATGATGCTTTTGGGAAATGCAGCCCTGATCAATTCACACAACTAAATTAATTGGTAGCCTATTAAATATATATATTTTTAAAATTTCACCAGAAATAATATAAATGTACTAAAAATACTGAAAAGACATTCATGTTGTTAAAAGGGTTAGTTCACCCAAAAATTCTGTCAGTAATTACTCACCCTCATGTTGTCCCAACCCCGTAAGACTTTCGTTCATATTCGGAACACAATACATAAATAACAAAAACACAACAAAAATAATGACTTTTATTCAACTTAATTTTCTTCTGTATGAGTGTTTTGTTGCACACAAAAAGTATTCTGGTCACTTGATAGTGGTTGAGCCATAGTCACACTTAAGACTATTACAGTGTATTTGTAGACTATATTAAAGGGTTAGTTCACCCAAAAATGAAAATTAAGTCATTAATTACTCACCCCCATGCTGTACCAACCCCGTAAGACCTTCGTTCGTCTTCGGAACACAAATGAAGATATTTTTGATTAAATTTGAGAGCTGTATATATACCACATTGACTCCAAAGGGACTGCCTCTTGACGGCCCAGAAAGTCAATGAAGAAAATGTTTAAATATCCCAAGTGACTACCGTGGCTCAACTATATGTTTATCAAGCGACGCGAATACTTTTTGTGCGAAAAAACAAACAAAAATAACGAGTTTATTCGACTATTTCTTTTCTTCCTTGTAGGCCAGAACGAGACTTCCTTATAGATTTCCACGACGCATGCGCGAGAATTGCGATCTGAAGTAGTGAAGCTGGTGTGAGCAGATCGCAATTCTCGCGCATGCGTCGTGGAAATCTATAAGGAAGTCTCGTTCTGGCCTACAAGGAAGAAAAGAAATAGTCGAATAAACTCGTTATTTTTGTTTGTTTTTTCGCACAAAAAGTATTCGCGTCGCTTGATAAACATATAGTTGAGCCACGGTAGTCACTTGGGATATTTAAACATTTTCTTCATTGACTTTCTGGGCCGTCAAGAGGCAGTCCCTTTGGAGTCAATGTGGTATATATACAGCTCTCAAATTTAATCAAAAATATCT